GGTCGGCAAGAAGGCGGCGAGCCGCTGCAAGGCCTGGGTCAAGTCCGAGGGTGGCGTCCTGGCCAGCGTCGCCTGCCCCGTGGCCTGCGACACCTGCCTGGCGATCTGCGAGGAGGCGAAGCAGGACCTGGAGGAGACTCTCGCGGAGGAGAAGCAGACCTGCGCGGAGGAGAAGCAGACCTGCGCGGAGGAGAAGGCCGCGCTCGAGGGGCCGTCGTGCGCGGACTCGACGACGTGGCACCAGGGCTGGAAGAAGTCGAAGACCTGCGCGTGGGTCGGCAAGTCGCCCGCGAAGCGCTGCGACAAGGAGTCCAAGTCCAAGGTCTTGGCCAGCGACGCCTGCCCCGTGGCGTGCGACGCCTGCCCGACCTGGGCGGAGGTGACGGAGGACCTCCAGGAGACCTGCGACGCGGCCGAGGACGAGATCACCGCGCTCGAGGCCAACCTCGCGCGCGGCGAAGGCGAGATCGCCGCGCTCAAGGCCGCGAACGCCGAGCTCGAGACCGCGAACGCCGCGCTCGAGGGCAAGGTGGCCGAGCTCGAGGCCAAGCTCGAGGCCCCGACGCCCGCGCCGACGGTCGACCCCACGGCAGCGCCTACGACGGCGCCGACGGCGGCCCCCACGCTCGAGCTCACGCTCGAGCCCACAGCGGCGCCCACGCCCCCCCCCACGGCCGCGCCGACGGCTTCCACGTGCGCCGCGAACGAGTGGTTGGTCTGCGAAAAGTGCCCCAGAGGCGCCACGTGCGACGGCGCCAACGCCGTGTGCGAAGGCGAGGGCAGTTGGTACGTCAACCGCTTCAACGTCTGCCTCGAGTGCCCGAACGGCTACACGTGCGACGGCGTCACCAAGACGTGCGCCGTCAACAAGTACGTCGACAACAACGAGTGCCTCGAGTGCCCGGCTAGCGCGACGTGCGACGGCGTCAACGCCGTGTGCGATAACGTCAACAAGTACGTCGACAACAACGAGTGCCTCGAGTGCCCGGCTAGCGCGACGTGCGACGGCATCGACGCGACGTTCTCTCCGACGGACCTGAACGAGCTCAAGATCGCGGTCAACGGGTGGATCGACGACGCTTGGAGCGCGGAAGCCAAGCACGGGCACATCAGCTCCTGGGACACGTCGTCCGTGACGGACATGAGCAGCCTGTTCTCTGTTTATGACGGTTGTAACTGCATCGACTTCAACCAGGACATCGGCGGCTGGGACACGGCGTCCGTGACGGACATGAGCGACATGTTCTACGGCTTTTACGGCTTTTACGCCTTCAACCAGGACATCGGCGCCTGGGACACGTCGTCGGTGTCGGACATGAGCTCCATGTTCGAAGAAGCTTACCGCTTCGACCAGGACATCGGCGGCTGGGACACGTCGAAGGTGACGCACATGGGCCGCATGTTCGAAGAAGCTTACCACTTCGACCAGGACATCGGCGCCTGGGACACGGCGTCCGTGACGGACATGAGGTCCATGTTCTACCAGGCGTCCGCCTTCAACCAGGACATCGGCGCCTGGGACACGTCGTCCGTGACGATAATGAGCTGGATGTTCTACGAAGCCGCCGCCTTCGACCAGAACATCAGCGCCTGGGACACGTCGTCCGTCACGGACATGACCAAGGCGTTCTTCAACTCGGGTCTTCAGGATTGCCCGTCCTGGGCCGACGAGACCGCGGAATGCCCCCA